ATCGAGCCCCGCGTCGGGCTCTATGCTCAGCGGGGAGCCTGCTTCCTCCTCTCTGCCTGCCTCTCCCCCTACTTGTGATCTCTGCCTGTCAAATAAATAAATAAAAAATCTAAAAAAAAAAAATGTCATAGTCATACAAGATATAGAACTTTTAAAAGTACCATATAGATCAGATTATTTTATATATATATATATATAGCTCACATATATATAGATTATATATATAGATTATTATATATATCAGATTATTTTATATATATATATATATATATACACACACACACACACACACACATCAGATATAGATTATTTTATTCCTCTTCATATGGGATACAAAAACCTGAGATCCAGAGAGGCTCCCTTCTCCAGCTAGTTATTGACAGCTTTCTCTTCCAGTTCTCCTTTCCTCTAGAGCTTTCCCACAGTGACTGAATTTGGTTGTCTTGGAGGCAGCTGTTCAAATTGTTTTAGCAAAGAATAGCAACAAGAGCTGTGCTTTGGTGATCTGGCAGTAGTGTAGAGGGGACACTGAAAACTAGTGCATTATCAGGTGTTTTTGGCCATAGATAACAGAAACCTCAATTTAAATTTGCTTTTTTTCTTTTTTAAGATTTTTCTATATTTATTTGACAGAGAGAAAGACAGTGAGAGAGGGAACACAAGCAGGGAGAGTGGGAGAGGAAGAAGCAGGCTTCCCACTGAGCAGGGAACCCAATGTAGAGCTCGATCCCAGGACCCTGGGATCATGACCCTAGCCAAAGACAGTACTTAACGACTGAGCCATCCAGGTGCTCCTAAATTTGCTTTAATAATATGGTAGTTTACTATATCATACCAAGAATCTAGAGATAAGGTAGTTTTAAGATTTGTTAATTTAGAGCTAAAAGACATTATGGACCCTCCCTCCCATTCTCTTCCCTTGCTTCCCTCCTATTTCTCCCTCTCCTTCCTTCTTTCTCTTTGCCATCTTCACATCCTTTGGTTTGGATCACTTCATTATATAGTGACTTTCAGAGGCAGAAAGAATCCATTCCCTGCCCCTCCTCCCCACCCGACATACACATACCTTCTTAAGGGCAAATATGCCAACAGTGAACTTACATCATTGGTTGTTGGCCAGAATTAGATTCTGTGCCCAGGCAGAACCAGTCTCTGGAAGGAGGAGTGGAATTCCTTTGCTAGAATTGGTGTTGAGGAGCCACAATCACACAGTTTGAGGGGAGGGAATGGTATGAAAATGTCTAAGTTAGATACAGAGTTGGATCATGTATTCCCAGGTAATGAAACTGTATCCTTTGGGGCTATCTTCTCTACAGAACAGAGGGAACAAAACAAAAACACAAAAACAACACCTTGTTAATTTTCTGCATGTTAACTACTAACTTTACAAGATTGTAAAACATGTGGGTCCTAATTGGTTTTTAGTTAGTTTTACATTTCCCAAGAGAGGCAAGTGAGCCTCAGGTAGGTTTATTAGAATTGCATGACATGAAAAGGTCACCTAATCATTTATTTTCTGTATTTCCAACCTTGAATATTTTTTTTCAACAAGAGTAAGTGTGGTTGTTAGGGGAGATGGCAAAGGAAAAAAAGAGAATGGGACAAAAAGCCTGGTTCCAAACTATGCACATATTTCTAATTAGGCAGTGTTTTTTTGCCATATGATTTGATTTGTTTCTACAGGCTGGCTTTACTTTTTCTTTTTTTTCTTTTATGTTTTTTGAAGATTTATTTATTTCAGAGAAAGAATGAGAGAGAGAGCATGAGCTGGGGAAGGAACAGAGAGAGAGAGAGAGAAGCAGACTCCCTGCTGAGCAGGGAGCCTAATGCGGGATGTGTCCTAGGATCATGACCTGAGCCAAAGGCAGACGCTTAACCGACTGAGCCACCCAGGCGCCCCATGGGCTTTACTTTTTCTTTGTTCCCCTCGTACAGTCTCAAAACATGGTGTGACTCGTAGTCACTCATTGTTCTCCTTTTCATCTTAATGCTGAGAGTAGTTTCCTTTGGGACCTTGACCATTGAAGAGGTTTTAATAAATTTCTTTTTTTTTTCTTCACTTTTTAAAAAAAGATTTATTTGAGAGTGAAAGAGCAGGGAGCGGGGAGCAGAGGGAGAGGGAGGGAAAGAATTTCAAGCCAACTCCAGCTGAGCATGGAGCCTGACATGGGGATTGATCCCATGACTCTGAGATCAGGACCAGAGCCACAATCAAGAGTTGGATATTTAACCCACTGACCTGCCCAGGTGCCCCAAGGTTTTATTAAATTCTTAAATAACATTCATAAATGTCAAACCAAATTAGTTTCATCTTTGGCAAATAAGTCAAAGTGCATAACAGTACCCAGCATGGTATTTAGCACAAAAGTGCTTTGTGTTATTTGAATATTAATATTTATAGTTCACTAGTATAACCTCTTTGTGGGGGGCGCCTGGGTGGCTTAGTAGGTTAAGCCTCTGCCTTCGGCTCAGGTCATGATCTCAGGGTCCTGGGATCAAGCCTCGCATCGGGCTCTCTGCTCAGTGGGGAGCCTGCTTCTCCCTCTCCCTCTGCCTGCCTCTCTGCCTACTTGTGATCTCTCTCTCTCTCTCTCTCTCTGTCAAATAAATAAATAAATAAATAAATAAATCTTTAAAAAAAAAAAGCTCTTTGCGGGCAGAGATTTTATCTCATTCACTGTTACATGTGTAATGCCTAGCACAGTGCCTGGAGTGTTGTAGTCAGTATTTGTCAAATAGTTTTAAATACCAAGCTTATTTTTATTTAATTTATTTATTTTTAAGAATTTTATTTATTCATTTGACAGAGAGGGAGACAGCAAGAGGGGGAACACAAGCAGGGGGAGAAGGAGAGGGAGAAGCAGTCTTCCTGCTGAGCAGGGAACCTGCTGTGGGGCTTGATCCAAGGACCCTGAGATCATGACCTGAGCCGAAGACAGATGCTTAAGGACTGAGCCACCCAGGCACCCCCCCAAACTTATTTCTTAAGCGAAGCATGTGCTACAACAGTGTTCTTCAAACTCTGGTTGTATAGCCCCTGAAAGAATTTTTTTTAAAAATCCCTACCCTCCACACGTTTTTAAGTTGACATTTAAGTTTTCCATCATAAGTTTAAATAGTTGCAAAGGATATAATTTCTGGTTTGCAAATATTGACATATTCAAATAAAACTGTTACATCAATTTAAAAATGTATCCAACAGGATATAAATACCATAGAAATTTAAATATCATTCATTTAAAAAAGACATGAATGAAGCCTTCACTAACCATTGTGATTTTTACATAGTTTCTTTTTCTCCTTGAATTTGTATTTCTAGTTCCATTCTCCCACAGAATTTTATTCTAATGTAATATATTTTTATGCTTAAAAAATCTTCTACAGATCCGTTTCATTATCAAGATTTTCATGATTCACTAACATTAAAAGATTATAAAATTTTCTGTGATTACTGGATTGTCATTATAATTGTTGATACACAATTGATCAAAACAGCATAAACATATTACATATTAAAAAATTATTTAACAAATTATTTTTAAGCAAAAAAAGTAAAATGTAACTGGGAATGCATCTTTTGAACAAGACAAGGCAGAGCAGGGGGGGCACCCGGGTGGCTCAGTGGGTTAAAGCCTCTGCCTTCGGCTCAGGTCATGATCCCAGGGTCCTGGGATCGAGCCCCGCATCGGGCTCTCTGCTCAGTGGGGAGCCTTGCTTCCTCCTCTCTCTCTTTGCCTGCCTCTCTGCCTACTTGTGATCTGTCTGTCAAATAAATAAATAAATAAATCTTAAAAAAAAAAAAAAAAGACAAGGCAGAGTGAGCATATTTTTGGAGTCTTGATTAAAGGAGATTTCCTGAGGTGCCTGGGTGGCTCAGTCCATTAAACTGCTGCCTTCGGCTCTGGTCATGATCCTAGGGTCCTGGGATCAAGTCCCGTGTTGGGCTCCCTGCTCAGCGGGGAGCCTGCTTCTTCTCCCTACCCTCTGCCATGTCCCCTGCTTATGCTTTCTCTCACTCTCAAATAAATAAATTAAATCTTAAAAAATGATTTAAGGGAGATTTCCTGATTATCTCTTGGTTTGGCACATCAGAGGCAATGTGCCATCATAATACCTGGTTTGATGTGGTTTACTGTCATCAAGGTTCTCCTGGAGAAAGGACCACAGGGAGAGGGAAGTGGGAAGAGGAACTAGCATGATGCCTCCACCATAACTTGGTATCAGGGGGATCACTTTTACAAAGAGTATTGATGGGAATTAAGGATCTCAAAGTTGATTTCCTTAAAACCATCTGGGCTCACATACACCTTAGTAAATCTTTGTGTGCCTGTTAGGCTACAGTTTGAAGATTGCTACCTTAATTTGTGGAGATCATGTTAACTGGATTTTCAGAAGTGTGATTAAGGGGACACGATGGCTGTAATGAGCCTGTATTGTTTTTTTCTATCTCTTCCATTCCTTGTGATTCTGGAAGGATGGTCAATCACACTGTCTCACCTCCCACAGGGACTGGCATAGCCAATCACATTAATCCTATTCCCTTGGCTGTAGTAATTTGTCCAACAGTAGGCATAAAACCCAAAATCAGTCCTTTCCCGGAATTGGTATACAAACACTGAGGAAGAAGATTATACTTTCTTTCCACAGTGAGCTGCTGAGCTTTGCAGATGTGACTCTGGAGCTGTTGGCAAGCAAGTGGGAGTGCCTCTCTGCAGAATGAAGGCAGAAGAGCTAAAAGGTCCAGAGGCCAGACCAAGGGCCTCAGGGGGCATGGAATTTCAGTCCTTGAGGATTTGGTTCCTGTGGCTCTTTTGATCCAGTGATCCTCCCCAATATCCTTCTCAGCTGCATGAGCCCCTAAGCTGCTTTTTTTACTTGAGTTCGTTTAACTTGTATTTTGGTGCTGTTGAAGTAATGTAGTAGCAACCTAGCAGAGTAAACCCACAGTATTGTGAAAATGTCTTTTGTAAAATGGTAATTTTGAAAATTTTCTCTTCTAGATCGTTGGACCTTCAGATGGAAGTAGCTACATTATAGATTATTATGGAACCAGACTTATAAGACTGAGTATTACTAATGAGACATTTAGAAAAACACAGCTGTACCCCTAAATATTTTTAAAAAGAAACAGTAAGTCATATGCATGAATAATCTTTATTATGGTATATTATCTGTATAAAATTATGAAAATGTGAGAGCCACAGGAAATTTAAGGAAGTTATCTAATGTTATAAACCTCTCCTTTTGCTTATCTAGAAACACAGGTCTCCATTTGCCTGAAACATCTCTAGTCTTCTGTGAAGCATTTTTAGGTACCCTCATTGCTCCTGCAGGTCCTGATTCAGTCTTTCTTTGCAGAGATTGTGGTTGGAAGACAGAGTTCACAACAAAAAGTTAGCATCCAATGCAAAAAGATATTCCATAGTATTACATGATGGTTATGAGGAAGGTATGTGTTGTAGAGAGAGTTCAGTACAACATGTCTTTGCTGCTCTCCTGTTTTTCTGGGGTCAGTATGATCCTTAAACCTCTTCCTTCTCTTTTTCCCTAAACCTGAAAGTTGATTGAGTCTTAACCTTGAACTAATCTTTTTTTTTTTCCTTTTTTTTTTTTTTCTTTTTTTTGGTCAGAGAGAGCAGCAGGCAGAGCAGGCAGAGGGAGAAACAGGCCCCCCCACTGAGTAGGGAGCCCAATTCGGAACTCGATCCCAGGACTCTGGGATCATGACCTGAGCCAAAGGCAAACACTTAACCGACTGAGCAACCCAGGTGTCCCAGCCCTGAATTGCTCTTAAGTATTTACTCTAACCTAAAGTTTGGCCCTGCCTATGAGAATTATTAACTGGTCACAGCTTTAAATAGGTAATACACTTGGGTAAGTCAGAGATATCATCAGTCTTCCTGGTTCAACTCTCTGGTTCTCTAGGACTCTGCTACTATAAGGTTTTTATTTCCAGGGCTGTGCATTAGTCTATTCTAATAATCTTCCAATAATGCTAGATTTTTCTTAGGATTTTGATAGACTTATTAGGAAAATGATTCCCTAGCACAATCTCCTCTGCAGTCGAGAATTCCTGTATGACATCTGGGTACAGGGTACTTGTTAGGTGATATTTCACTTTGAACCATCTAGCAGCTCTCAGAGAAGGCAGAGAGAAAGACAGTTAGGCTTTTTTTTTTTTTTTTTTTTTTAAGATTTATTTAGAGAGAGAGAGAGGAGACCAGTGCAAGCGGGGTAAGTAGCAGAGGGACAGAATCCTCAGGTAGACTCCCCACCAAGTATGAAGCCTGCCAAAGGGCTAAATCCCACGACTCATGACATAATGATCTGAGCTGAGACCAAGAGCCGGACTCCCAACTGACTGAGCCATTCAGGCACCCCAAGACAGGCTAGATGTTTTGGCCGTAGTCATAGTCCTAAGGGTTTTCAGGTGATTCTGTCTCAGAAAGTGCTTCGAGAGACCAGGAAAGGAACAGACATTTATTTTCCATGTTGTAGTGTATCAATAGGGTATGAAGTATAGTTTTGCCACAAAGGTAGATTGTTTTTCTTTTCTCACAGTAAAATTGTGGTATCTACTTTATAGTTATTTTTGTGAGAGTTGAACAGTGACAGACCCTGTCAGAATCTGAGGAATTTATTCAACTGATTGTCCAAAAAGTTTTTCAGATCTTTTCTTATAAACTCTCAGAGTCTTTGGATTTAAATGAAGCTTGGAGATCCATCTGCCTCTTCTTACCAGGGAATAAATTGAGACCTGCGTAAGTTGAGATTAAGATATAACTACTCAGTACAAAGCTGAGTTTTCGGTGCCCTCCACTGGTGGTTTCCAGGTTTTTTGGTGCCTTCCCCTCGTGGTTTTGCACCACCCACCCCACCTCATTTTCCCACCAACTCTGTCATAAGCATCTTCATTTTGGAAGTTGTTAGTCCAACTTTATGAGAAAGTGTGTACAGCTTCACCATAGCCCTATTTTCATACTGTAAATTGTTGTGTCTCTTTCAAAAGTATACAGATTGTTTTTAAACCATAATGTGGAAAAATTAAGCAAATGCAATTTGGAAAGCAGTTTCATTCTCTGTAGTCTATTATATAAACTTTTAATTGGGATTCCAGACTCAGATTTGATATTTAAAACTTGAGGGGCTCATTGAGAAGGCAGATCTCTGCACTGTCATTCACATAATCTCCTATAGTATATATAGAAGTGCCCAAAGAGAAAGAAAAAAATGTCCTATGAGTAAATGAAGCGTTAAAATGTTCATCTACAATAACCTCACTTGACTCTTAAAATACTGTGTTTTAATGTATTTCTTTTTTCTGTTTTAGGGATTTGGGCTTCTTTGATTTCAGTAGAGCACCCTCAGTATGTGGATTTCCAGATTTTCTTTTTTCTTCTTCGTATACCACTTTATGGATTCTATATAACTTTTTGTTGTTGATATTTTTTTTTGGTTGTTTTACTTAGAAGCATTTTATTTAATTGGACTTTCTTTGAGAGCTGTGTGATAATTGAGTCTTAGGCTACTGTCTCTATGAGATAGATAGCTTATTACCCCAATACTCTTTAATGCCTTTTCCAAAGGCAAGTTGCCCCTTGTCATTTTTGCTTCTGAAAAATAAAAGTATGACTTATTCACATTTTTTTTAGTGCTTTATTATCAAGAAAACCTTAAATGTTGAATGTAGCTGTCTTCTGCATTTTGACTCTTCAAAGCAGTTAATTCACAGTGTGGACAACACCATTTACTATGTTGCGTGGGGCCACCATGGGGTGTGAGAACCCACCTATTTTTCTGCAGCTTTTAGATCCATCTCTGCCTTGGTATCTGTGGTGCGAAAGATCACTGGGGAGTCTGAAACCCTGAGGCAGCATGGATACTCTGGCACTGATGCAGGCCTCCGAAGTGTGAACTGGCTCCTTTTTGCTCTGGGAGTGATGCACTAGCTCTTGGAAGGGCAGCTGCTGACTCTTCTAGCTCAGCGCCGTTGTATTGGAAGCTGGATGGACAAGGTGGGGACACCAAACGGGGGATGAATGTCTTCCATCTGTGAGCGCTGCCAGGCAGATGCTGGCATGAGTGCCTTACATGATGCCCCAGTGTCAGAAGGAAGCAGTCCCGGTACCTTGGGGAGGGCTGTAAGAAGACGGAAATACCGGAAACATTATGTCTTCGTAATACCGTCATGTTTTCTTCAGTAACAGGCATAACGATTTCACAATTACTTGGGTCCTGGCTCCTCAGGAGTAAAAACCATCATTTTTTATCACTCATTTTACTCAGACATATACGGTTATAGTACAGTTAGCTTCCTAACACGTTAGTCATTCAGTAGCAGCTTCCGCAGTTGGTGGGAGATTATGCGGTATTGATACATGAAATGAATTTGGATTGACTCCTGATGTACACCAAGAGTGGTCTCTTTGATTCATTCGTTGCTTAAAATGCTGAGTGTCTACTATGTGGGAGGCACTGTTCTAGATGCTGGGGCACAGCAGTGATTGAAACACAAATACACAGGCCTGCCCGTCAGGAGCTAATGGTCCCTGGGGGCTGACTTTTCACGGTGATAGTATTTCTGGCTGCAGTTAAGCTAGCTGGTCGATGCCCATTTTTCGAGTATTTCCTAGTTCCTTTTGGTTGCGAACAGTGCTTTGGATTTTAACTTCAGGATCCCCGAAGCCCAGATTTCAAAGTTGGTACATTTCTACAGCCATGGAAGTTCAATTATATAAGAAATACCTGCAATCAAGTCTTAAAAAGTCATCTTGACCCCTGCGTGATTGTTCATTATTAACGTGGCCAGTGGGAAAGTCTTGTTTCAAAGCAGGTGCTTCTCAAAGTATTTATTCATCTAAGCTGTTCTCTGAAAGGGTTGTAGAGAAAATCTAGACATAAAGGCTCTTCACAATACATTCTTAAACCCATAGATTCTATTTTCTCTATAATTTCCTTAATTTACATGACAAGAACACATCAGATTTTCCAGTTTGCCTAATTCTCTGTTGCCTGATACATGTCATTCTTTAACAAATGGTATATCTGTATCTTACTCTTATTTATTTTTTATGTAAGTGCATTTAGTGTATGTAAATGCAGTTTTTATTTTTATTTTGTTTCGTTTTACTTTCATGGAGAGCTATTTTATTTTGGCTGTTTGTTAGTTTCTGTGAGTATGAGTCATTTTGAGGCTGCTGTATGAGATGTTTTATACGATAACTCTGCTTTTAGAGCAGGAGCCAAAATTGTGAGATGGATTAGCTCGATCATTCCTTGGGTTACTCCAAAACTCTCTACAATGGGATGGAATGGGTTCTTTCAATGTTACAGAAACAGTGTTTCTATAGAAATATTTACAAATGATACTTCTTTAACCTGAAAGAATTAATACAATTTGCAGAAGTACCTCTCTACCCAGGAGGATTTCTTACCTACACTGTATTAAAATAAAAGACCTCTTTAGGACTTCAGAGATTGTGTTATGTGTATGCCCTGCATCTGTTCATGGGATTCCTAGAACTAAAAGAAATACTAGTCTGGGGGCGCCTGGGTGGCTTAGTGGGTTAAGCCTCTGCCTTCGGCTTGGGTCATGATCTCAGAGTCCTGGGATCGAGCCCCGCATGGGGCTCTCTGCTCAGCGGGGAGCCTGCTTCCCCCTCTCTCTCTCCCTGCCTCTCTGCCTACTTGTGATCTCTCTCTCTGTCAAATAAATAAATAAAAATTAAAAAAAGAAAAAAAGAAATACTAATTTGTGGGTATGTTTTGTTTTACAAAAAAAAAAAAAAAGGTATGACTTTTCCCATTATTTTAAGCTAGATGCTTAAGGGTAGGTTAAGTATATAATACTAACAGGCAGCTAGCAAGAACTAGCAGAAAGAAAAACCAGTTCTTAAAATGTACAAGTCTAAGGTGTCAGTTCCTCTTCCTCATTCAAACACCTTAAATGTAGATATTCCCCGGGGTTCTGGCACCTTCCCTCTTCCTTTCTCTCATTAAGTCAGCATCTATTTTGCTTTCTTCTATTTGCAAAATTAATACAAGTATAACACAGAAATTTTGGGAAAACACCAAAGGAGTACAAAGAAAAAAACTCATTTGACAGTTCAAAGATAACTATGATGATCGTGTTTTTATATATGTCCTAGTAGTTTTTCCATGCATTAGTTTCTTCACGAAAATGATATATGATCCATGCTGTTTTGTAGCCCACTTCTTCATGTAAAGATTTTTATATTTCAGTAAATATTCTTTTACAACATTATTTTAAATAGCTTATAACATTATTTTTAAAGGCTGCAGAATAGTCCATGTCTGTATCATTATTTATGTAATTATGTATTCTTTGGTATTTAAGTTATTCCAATAAATCAGCAACACACGTTTATGATTCTTTTTCTCTAGAATTGCCATTCTTAGTAAAAAAAATAATCATATATTAAAGTTCTTGACACCTATACACAGTCCTAGTTAGCCAAGGTAATGGAGAAGTATTGGGGAATGATGGTAAATCGATTAGTTTGGCACAGGATGCTGAATAGTTGAATTATCTAATGCCCTCCAGAAAGCTTCAAGATACAGGCTTTATAAGAAGGAGTAAGTAGGTGATCCCGGAAGAAACAGGTGCAATGTGAACATGGGGAAACAGACGGCAAAGGTTGTGACCATGAAGTGAATACTTAGTCTCAGAGAGGAGAGACTTAAAGAAAGGAATAGATTAAAAAAGAAAGAAAAGAAAGATCCTAGTGCACAAGGAAAGAGAGGTCTCCTAACATCCTTCCTGCTTATTCTTCCAATATAACATGTAGCTGGGCCCACCAGACCACATACTGGTTGATACTAACTTTATCAACTTTCCCATTAAAGCCAAGCTCGACTTAGTATACTCAGTGTTGTATCCCTTGAAAAGCTGCATAATGGCCGAAATTGAGAAATTGGGGCCACACTATCATGTGACTCTAAATATCGCCAGGGATCCAAGATTTGCATGGTTACCATCCACACATAAAGGAACCTATGCAGGTGACTGCTTAGTACAGAGAGTAACTCACAAACATTGTGGCCACAGTTGACTGGGACCTTAAGTGAAGAATCTGGAAAATCCCTGGTGTTCCAGTCATGTACATTTCTAACCATAGGTACAACATCGAGTGGATGCCAGATGATCATGGAGGCCCTAGGTCCTAATTCTTAAGTTCCTCTGCCTTACTTAACCAACTTTTCCTGGTGCACATTCATATAATAATAGGCTATAGCATGATTACTCCATTTATCCATTTGCTCTGTTACAAGCTGAGTGTGGACACTCACTTTTTGACATTATTTTTTTAAGTAAATAGGAAGCTCAATCTCAGTGGTCTTTATTCTCCCTACTGAGAGGAAAAGAAAGATAGGTAGATTCAGAAAATGAGAAAAGTTACTAATTAGGATGATTAGCAATAAAAAAAAAATACTGAACAGTACAGAATACCCAAATGAATCCTGGATTAATTCATTTGTAGCTGAGTTGATGAGCCTGGTAACACTTATTCCTATTATCCTACCCCCTCCTTTTTTAAAGGTTTATTATTTGAGAGAGAATGCGTGAGAAGGGGGAGGGGCAGAGGGAAAGAGAATCCCAGGCAGACTCCGTGCTGAGCACAGAGCTCGATGCGGGGCTCGATCCCACAACCCCAAGATCATGACCTGAGCTGAAATCAAGAGTTGGACACTTAACCAGCTGAGCCACCCAGGTGCCATTCTCTCTCTCTTTTTAAAGTAATCTCTGTATCCAGCGTGGACTCAAACTCAACCTTAAGATCAAGAGTTGGTTGCTTTATCAACTGAGCCTGTCAGGTGCTCCCCCATTATCTTTCTAGAGCCCACTATCTTAATTCTTAGTAAATGTAGCAATGGTCTTAAGGCTAGTCATTGTCTGATGGAGACCAAATATCATTTACCTTCTTAGAAAATAGATATTTTTACGAAAGATATAAAAATATTAAAGCTTAAAATCTTAAAATTTCAAGAAGATTTTAGCTTGATAAAAGGTCCTTTTACCACTCTCCATGTGCAAGATGTTATACTAAGCTCATTTTATATTTTAAATGTTTCAGTTCTCACAACATTTCTGTTGGGTTTTTCTAAAGAGTTTTCACTTTCCAGATAAGTAAATTGAGTCACATAAAAAGAGAATGACTTTCTCAAGGTCATGAAATAAATTTTGAACCCAGCATTGAAACCCAGGTCTATACCTGCTATCCTGCCTGCAATGTGATAGTTACAACTGTCCAAGTCTCTGAGACACTAATGACATTTCTTAATATGTTGTTTAATGTTTTCAGTATGGAAACCATCAGCCTACACTGAGCCTTTTTACTTAAACGATAGTTTGCCATTTAAAAAAAAATTTAGTTAAACTTCTCAACTTCGCATCATGCAGATGCCAACATGCTATATGAATATCTAAATGAGACTATGATGAAGCAATGATTTTCCAAAACCCAAAGATTTTCCTGCTGCTGCCTTATCTGACATTTGCAGCCCTTTCTGAACTAAAAGTCTGATAATGTTTGTATAACAAGGAGAGAGATGTTAGGTTGGACCATACTGTCATGCTCTGCTTAGTTCTGCTGAGGTCAGATGATGACAGAAATGTGTAGAT